CAAAACACAACTGAAAGTCCATTAAACTTGTCTTTCTGTATTTGTGAATGAAGCGCCATCTCCTGGTTAAAACCTGAAATTGAAAATCTGGCAACGCCCTCTTGGAAAATAGTGGGAGGGCTTAACATTCCTCAATACTGGTTTTAGGCAGGTCGTAGGCAGGAAGCTGTAAGCTGGAGTCTGAAATTCGGTGCTACATCTGTACTTTGCATTTTTATGCGGATGATACCGTGATGTACTGTGCAGGTCCCTCCATTAAGGAGGCTGGTGTTACATTACAGGCTGTTTTTAACATTATTCAGACTCAGCCCTCTGAACTAAAGCTTCTTTTAAATGTTGAGAAAACCAAGGTAATGCTCTTTTCTAAAGCTAAAAAGACACCAGAGCCTGTTTTTAGATATTGTAACTACGCAAGGAATAAAACTTGAAGTGGTTACCTGTTACAAATACCTTGGTATCTGGCTTGATGACTGTCTCTCTTTTAAACTTCATGTCAATAACCTGCTTAAAAAGCTGAGGGTTAGGCTAGGTTTCTTCTACAGGAACAAGTCCTGTTTCTCGCTTGAGGCCAGGAAAAGATTAGTCAATGTGACCTTTTTACCTGTGCTGGACTATGGTGATCTGATTTATATGAATGCACCTGCCAATTGCCTGGTCAAGTTAGATGCTGCGTATCACAGTGCACTAAGATTTGTGACAAATTGTAAAGCATTAACACATCACTGTACCCTGTATGCAAGGGCTGGTTTGCTTTCATTAACTGTACGGAGGCTCACTCACTGGTACATTTTTATATACAAAGCCATGTTAGGGAAACTTCCATCTTATATCTGCTCCCTGATCTCACGGAAAATTGTAATTGGCTACTGCCTGAGATCGAATGCTGTGGTTTTATTAAATGTGCCAACTGCTAGGACTGTCTTAGGGAAGACAGCTTTTAGATGCGCAGCTCCTCTGTCTTGGAATAGTCTGCAAAAGGAATGGAAGCTGAGCAATCTGGTGCCACTAAATGTTTTTAAAGCTCGGTTGGATGCTACTCAATCGGAAGCTATTGGTACCTGTTTCTGTGGATAATTATGTAAATGATGCTGTACTGATGTCCTTGTTGTTCTGTCTATGTTTCTATGTTTCATGTGGAACTACTTGAGCAGGTCTGCCTTGAAAAAGAGATCAATGATCTCAATGGGATTCATCTGATTAAACAAAGGCTTGAAATGAAATGAAAAGCCTTAATGCAATCGAATGTAAAACAAAAAAGTTATGATTGATGAAAGTAGTAAATCGGTCAGATTTGACCCGAAGACAACAGGAGGGTTAATAAATGTATGAACAGGTTGACATTGTGCATTGTGTGTATATCAGTACTGGTGAGGTGGTAGACGTTACTGTTGTAACGTGTAGAAGCAAAGCTCCCGAGAAGAGAGAACAAGATGAGGGACTATCAGTAACTCTCCCTCCTGTGTGCAGCTTCCTGACGGACAGACGCTGCTGCTGCCTAAAGTGGTGACTGCCCAGTTTGGCTCTGATGTAAACAAACACACAGTGTGTGTGTATGGTCATGTGGACGTCCAGCCAGCTAAGCTAGATGACGGCTGGGCAACGGATCCCTACAACCTGACTGACATCAACGGTAACAGCCTTTAAGCCGTTTTGTCCCCAATTAATGCAGTGATAGCAAACTTCATTTTGAATCCAATAGGTCTTCAACGTTTACAAAGTTACGAAACACTTCAGATTAGGCTAGTATAAAACAATGCTCAAAACTATCTCAAATATTCATCCTGATGGAATGGCGGTGCATTGCGTCTGAATATTTGTATTCAGTGTAGACACAGCTTATAATATAGATCAATTACGAACTGAAACAAGCTGACACATATACGTAATACTGAGAAGATTAAATAATAATAATAATGTGCCAAACTTAACACCAGTTAGGGGGAAATTAAAGTAGATCTTAACTTTCTTTTCAGTTTTTATTTCATATCACAATCATAATAACTAAACCTGATAGCTCAGTGAGGATCAGTACAAATGACGGTTTGACTGACGTAGTTATTTAGAGACTAATAATGACTTTTTGTACCGGTGTTAAAAATGTATAAACTGGAAAGCGTCACAATGTCCAGAATAATCCAAGTGACTGATCGAATATATTAATCGATGTATTGTAGTGCCGAGAGATAGGGAGTCAGAGGCGGTGCAAGGAAGGTGCAAAAAGGTACTTTATTTAAGAGCTGTTGTCCAGTTGCAGTCTGGGAAGAAGAGAGCGAAGTCAGGAGGGCACACAACATACTGTATATAGTAAACACATAACATGTCCGTGTGGGAACAATAGCCCCAACTGTAGTTCCATGTATGAATTATGTCCCAGTGTATTAATAGGTGGTCACCACAGTATATAATATAGTGACTCTTTTCCCTTTCAGGTCATCTTTATGGAAGAGGAGCATCAGACAACAAGGCCCCAGTGTTAGCCTGGATCCATGCAGTGGGGGCTTATCAGGCCCTCAATATGGTGAGACAGTCTGCAAACACTGTTATAGTAGGTCGTTTTGAATGCTTCAGTTAAAATAATCTAATGTGGGTGCTACAGAGGCAATGTGACCTTAAAGGACAAAGAACTAAAAGATATCTCTTTCTTGAAATCCTTCTGTGAGCAGACTCTTTGACTCGAGTAAAACACAGTCCTCCTTTCTGTCCACCAGGAGCTGCCAGTGAATGTGAAGTTTGTCATTGAGGGTATGGAGGAGACGGGGTCTAACGGCCTGGACGCCATGATTCTGGCTCAGAGAGACACCTTCTTCTCTGACGTGGATTACATCATCATCTCAGACTGCGGCTGGCTCAGCCGGCGGCCCGCCCTCACCTACGGCACCAGGGGGAACTGCTACTTCTTTGCTGAGGTTTTTTATGCATAAACTCAAAACACAAAGACAAACTGAAACATATAATTCTTAAACGACAATTTATTGTTTTTAAAAAACGTTGATTCTAATTCTACAGTCATACACACACTCTAAACCTGAGTGTCACTGAGCTCTTTCATGTGTGCAGGTTGAAGGACCTAAACAGGACTTACATTCGGGTGTTTATGGAGGCACTGTGATTGAACCAATGACTGACCTCATTGGCATTCTTGGTAAGTGTTACACATTGATCTATTCATTCACTTATTCATGAATTCGCTCACAGGAACATAAGACACTTACCTGCATCAGTAGGGCCTTAGCAATATGCCAGGTCCCCAAACTCTAGAGACTAAGAAGAGGTGTATGAATACTATTGCTTTTCAGTTAACCTGTATATATCCTTAATGCTAATTGATAGCATCCTGCGCTAATATAATGCTAATAGCTATTCGCAATTCAGAGGCTGGTTGATTTTAACTGTAATTTTAAATCAATCAAATCTGGCACAATGGCACCAATGAGAACCCCTGGAGGTTTGCTCTATTATTCAGGCTTCTTTAGTTACTCCTTCCTCTTTTGAGAGTAATTCCTAACTTGTGTTATGTTAAAACCTAAGGCTTTGCAACAAGGGTTTATTAGAACGTCTGTACAGCAAAGTGATGCGTATCATTAAAAGTCCTAATGATGTTGTACAGCACTCACATTGCCTCATGTCCAATCAAATTCCCTCGTCAGAGTTTTATAAAACACAATATTCAACACAAGTATTATCAGCACTTTGCCCCTTATTCACTATGTAACATTACATTATTAGAAGATCAAATACATTTTTCAGAAATATGTTCAATTGTTGTGTGTCAGTAGTGTGTAGTTTAGGAGATGTTATAGTAAATCCATCCCAGCTCCCTTCTCTAAACTTCATACAGTGTGAGATTATTTAAAACCACAACAAATGTATTTTGTAATTCCTGGTTTCAGACACACTGATCAGTCCCAGTGGAAAGATCCTGATTCCTGGGATCAGGGAGGCTGTGGCTCCCCTTTCTGATGAGGAATGGAAAATGTATCAGGACATCCAGTTTGACGTTGAGGACTACAAGAACAAGATCGGTGTCAGCCAGCTCATGTACAGCAATAAGGTAAGAGCTCAATCTTGAACATTGTTAAATTATACTACTTTAAAGGGCCTAATTTGACATTTAGAGCATATCTATGAATGTGTCTGGGTCTGATTGGCTCCACAGCTCATAACACGGACATACACTGAACAAAAATATAAATGCAACACTTTTGTTTTTGCTCCCATTTTTCATGAGATGAACTCAAAGATCTAAAACATTTTCTATATACACAAAATAACCATTTCTCTCAAATATTGTTCACAAATCTGAAAAAATCTGTGAGAGTGAGCACTTCTCCTTTGCCGAGATAATCCATCCCACCTCACAGGTGTGGCATATCAAGATGCTGATTAGACAGCATGATTATTCCACAGGTATGCCTTAGGCTGGCCACAATAAAAGGCCACTCTGAAACGTGCACTTTTGCTTTATGGGGGGGGTCTTGGGGGGTCCGAAAACCAGTCAGGTTTAACCCTAACCCTAACATGTCACCCACTGACATGTTAGGGTTAAGGTTAGGGTTAAACCCTAAAACATTTTTTAATGTGTCAGTGGGTGACATGTTAGGGTTAGGGTTAGGGTTAAACTTGACTGGTTTTCGGACCCTCCCAGACCCCCCCAATAAAGCAAAACTGC